CACAAAGGCGGAGGCTCCGCGCGCAGCAGGGCGTGTTCGGGATGTGCGCGAGGCTGAGCCCGGGGTCCGGGGCGTTCCGTGCCGGCGGTGCGAGCCTGTCTTCTCCAAGCTGACGGGCAGCGGAGGAACTCGCGGGGACAGACAGGTTCCGGGTGCCGCGCCCGGTCAGTCCCATCCGGTCCTAGCCATCCCTCCCCGGCTGGCACTTGCCTTCGCCGGCCGTCGGGGGAGGCTGGGAGGAGACTGTGGGAACGCCCTCCCTCCCTTTCTGCACTCGCGGGACCTGCACAGAGGCTGGGTGGAGGAGAGAAGCGAAGGCACGAGGTTTTTTGTTTGTTTTTAAATGGTGGAGGGAAACAGTCATGCTTGGCTACCGTCATCTCACTGGAGAGCTGTCGCCAATCTTGGGGATCCACTGGTTCCCCGCCTCTAGTTTGCAGATAGGAAATTGAGGCTGAGAGTAGTAGCTGGCGAGGCCAAGGTCACACTGGTTGTGGCAGATCCGGGACTAGGATCCAGAGGTTCTGACACAGCCACGCTCTTTCCTCCACATCCGCACTTCCCTTTCTCCTCCCCGAAGCCTGGACTGATACCTGCTCTGTGTTGCCCGGCAGGCCTCTCCGGCTCGTATTGATTCTAGTTCAAGTGTGGGGAGAGGACGTGCTCTCTGGACTCAGGGTAGAGATTGGGGAGGGTTAGTGACCCGAGAGTCCTGGTCTTGGCTGAGGCTTTCTGTCCCTAAAAGACCCAGCTTCTGTGCCCCGTGTCATTCACCTCGTTCCTGTGTTTTCTCAGACCCCAGAGTCGCGAGGAGCGAGAACCCTGACCCCTAATCCCACTGCATCCATCCAATAGGAGCCCAGTAAGTGACCCCACCCCCCCCAGGCTGCGGCCTCCTTCCTGTGCAGGTCTGTCCAGGTGTCCTCCTCAGGCACCCCACCCTGCTAATGTTGAATTTGTGCTAATTTATTCATAGTTGGGAGGAAGAGTCTTGGGAGGAAGGGAGACATTGGGTCAGTTGGACCCAGATGTCCTTCTTTTGTTGTTTCCCTGCCTCCCCGCATTGGTCATGTTCCTTTGGTCATTTTTAGCTCCTCTTCCTTTGAGCGCTGACCTTGGGGCTCTAGTTGAAGGTCATAGTCGATTGGGAACTCTCACTACCCTGCCACTTGGTACTTTTAGAGTACCCAGTCACTGAGCCACGAGTTTCACTCCCTACCTGAGCGTGTGGGGTGGCCCCTAAATATAGCCCAGGAAATCTGAGCCACACTGATGCCCCACCCTGTATTTCAGTCCAAGATGGGGAGGGAGGGGGTCTGGAGGCGTGGGTGTTGAGGGGTGGCAGTGGGGATGATGAGTCTGAAGGGAAGTGGAGAGCCAGATTCCTCTTTTCCGATACCCCTCCTCCAGTCTGCCTGGAAATGGAGCCGGGGGCAAGAAAGGGCCTCTGTGTGTCCTGGAGTCGTCTTCAACTCCTGGGTCCCTCTGCGCCCTGCATAATCCTGTGCTGAGGCAGGGAGTCTGGTGTTTGAGGAGACTTAGGAGGATGGGGGCAACCTCCCAGTCTTCTTGTTTTCTCACCCTGCCAGGCCACCATGGCGGAGCTGCAGGAGGTGCAGATCACTGAGGAGAAGCCACTGTTGCCAGGACAGACACCAGAAACGGCCAAGGTTACTAGAGACCCTCTGACCCCCATGCCAGAGTCTCAGACCTCTAGCACCCCACTCGCCTCCTGACTTCCCAGGCCCACTGATCTCATCCTCACCCACACCCTCTTTCTCCACCTCTACCCTAGTCTCTCTCCCCATACACTACAGTTGGGAGTCCAGGCCCTTGTCTTGTCACTACACTAACCTGCATCCTCTTCGTGTCTCTTTTTGTCAAACTCTTTCTGTTTTTGGTCTCTGTTGGTCTCTCTTACTTATGTCTCTTCGTCTCTCCATCTGTGACTCTATATGGTCCTGTGTTTCTGTGTGTATCTGTCTGCGTGTGTCTCTCTCCAGGAGGCTGAGTTAGCTGCCCGAATCCTCTTGGACCAGGGACAGGTAACAGCTTGGGGGCAGTCCCAGGGTGGGAGGAGGGGCTCTCCTCCCCCCCAGCAGAGAGAGGGCCTCTACCTGGCTCTTGCTCCTCTCATCACTTCCTTTCCTTCTATTCTAGTCCTTTCCCTTCTGCATCTCTCCCCTCCTTTTCCTTCCTCTTCCCTTCTCTCTCAAATCTTTTTCACCCCCAAACTCATCTTCCTCTGTCATGTTTGCCTAGATTCTTGCTTATCCTGTTTTTATTTCTTGGTCCCTTTTTCTCTTGGCCTTCCCCTCCCAACTCCCAGACTCTTGCGTCGCTCCTTTTCTGGCCCTCTTTCCTCTCGGCCTAACGCCTACCTGACAGTCCCCTGTTTCCCTGCAGACTCACTCTGTGGAGACACCTTATGGCTCTGTCACGTTTACTGTCTATGGCACCCCCAAGCCCAAACGCCCAGCGATACTCACCTACCACGATGTGGGACTCAACTGTAAGAACTCATTTCCCCTTCCACTTCTTTTCTGGGAAGAGGCTTGGGGGAAAGGTCAATATCCAACAGGAGGGGAGGGGTCAGTGTGGGCAGGAGACGCTCTCTTCTAGTCTGACTGAGGCTTGAAAGGAGAAGGGCGGGTTCTGACTTGGGGAAACTTTTCCCCCTCTGATTCTATTGTTGGGGGCGATGTGGGTTCTCTTTAGATAAATCTTGCTTCCAGCCACTGTTTCAATTTGGGGATATGCAGGAAATCATTCAGAACTTCGTGCGTGTTCATGTGGATGCCCCCGGAATGGAAGAGGGGGCTCCTGTGTTCCCTTTGGGGTAAGAATGAACTCTGGACCCCTTCAGCAGACTTTGAGGCATGGGGCAGCTGTGGGGAAGATTGGACTGAGGAGAAGGGAAGGGAGGGCTGTGGTGATCTCGGGAGAGAATGAGCAGGGTATCCTGAGGATGGGGCCTGGGGCCAGGTTGATCTCCTCCTTAACATGCCTGTCTTCCTCAGGTATCAGTACCCATCTCTGGACCAGCTTGCAGACATGATCCCTTGCATCCTGCAGTACTTAAAGTGAGAAGCCTGGGGACCCCCTCCAAACCAGAGTTCTCTTTCCAGCACAAGGAGACCCTTAGAATCCCAGGTCCACCAGGGTTCTTGGGCCAGTTTTGGCCTCTGACCTCGATACATCCCTCTTCCTTCATGGTCCCACCTTGATTGTTGGGAGAAAAGGCAGTGGGTTTGGAAAATGGACTAGAGTCAGCAGAGTATCCCTGATGGATGGAAGAAAGGAAAAGGGTCTATGCTTGGCCCTGCCTCAGGCCCAGGAGGGGCTTCTCTGATCGGAAACCCAGGGAGGAAGAGAATGGGGTGACGCCATCTCTGAGGAACCAGATAGACCTGTCTCTTTTCCTCCTACTCTCCCCTCCTTCATACCCACACCTGGTGAACTGGGAGCCCTGTGGGTGAGTGTGAGTGGGGGAAGGGAGAGAAAGCCAGACCAGGAGTCTTCAGAGGGAGGTGCTGTTCTTGGCTTGGCTTCTTCTAGGCTTTAGGGCTCTCAGCAGCTCTGGTTCTCCTCATTGCCTCTGTTTCCCCCATTCTCCCGGTTATTCACTAAAGTTATGTGTTTGCTTTAAGTTCTCTTCTTACCATTCCTCTAGAGGAACCAGGAACTAAAGCAGAACAAGTTAAACTAGCTCCTGAAAACTGAGAATAAACAAAGAGCTATCTATATAGAAAAATAGTGTGTCTGGTTGGTTGATAGATGGGTATTACTTTTCAAGACACTAGCTGTCCAAGAGGAAGCTTGGGATAGACTTTAGGGATGTACCCTGACTACCAGTGATCCCTTGCATCCTGCAGTACTTAAAGTACTTAAAGAAGATGACATTGTTTTTTTTTGTTTTTTTTTTTTTTT